CCCCCACCTTCGTCCAGCCCCCAAAACGCAATCAATACCCTGATGTGCACTCTGTTTATCCCCTTTCGTCTCATCCCAATTCTCTCAGTCAATGGTCAAACCAATGTGACCCCTCTTTATGTCAAAGGAGTCAGGGTGCTGACAAGATCAGATATGCTTATTTTCCGATGTGATGAATAGAAAAGAAAAAGAAAAGCTCACAAGGACTCGCTATAGTATAATTGATAATAAATAGAGACTGAATGAATGACTGCAACTATCAAATCCTTGTTGTTCTGGACAGAAAGTGTCTGCTGTTTTCAACATCGAATGCCCACATTAACAAGTGCAGATGATAGCCTCAGCCATCCGCACTGTGCACTCTGGGGAATAAGTACGGAAAACATCACCCGGATTTCCCACAAAATATCAAGATTGACTCTCGATAGTGTGATCCTTTGAGAGCATGAAACGGCCAATCAATGACCAGAGAGAGAGACAGGCAGTTGATGTGAAAGAAGTTGACCAAAATACATGGCAACCTTTGGTTATAACTGCCAAAGCGTCTTCACTCTTGCATATCTATCTATCTACTGATCCCTTTGATTATCAGCTTCTTGTCGGCTCAGCCGACGAACCCAAACCTAAAATCAAACCTAAAATCAGACTAGGCTCCAGGAATTCTCCGGCCTCGTGCTGTCTTCCCAACTGGAGCCAATCAATCGGCCACTGCCCCGGCAATCAAAACCAGAAGCGCTAGACTCCCTATTCTCAAGCTATCTATTGATTGATGCAACCATAAACCCAATGTCGGACTATTTACTCTGTTTCCACAACACATCAGTCTGCCTAGTAGGCACTATACTACAGGTGATTGAGCCATCGCAGTGTCTCAAGATAAACCTGCTCGTTGACGTGACATCCCCTTTCACTGTTTCTCACGTCATATAACAGCATTGGCATAAACCCAATCAAGCTTTTATAAAGTGCCAAGCCTGCACATGCACAACGAGTTCACAATATGCTTGGCAAAGCTTAGTTTTCTCCCCGTAGCTTACTAAATTAACTTAAACTTGGCCTCTGTGCAACCTTCTCCATACTCTTGGCGAACTTGGCTTCGATCAAAACACAAAATAACCACCGCAGCTATGGATAGGTAAGGTATTCTCACAGTAGCTACAACAGCAATAGTGAAGCCATCGGACAAAGGCTATATACATATAAAGAGCATCTTATTTTGACTCAACTCCTGGGTATTTGGTCCCCTTTTGACCTCAAATGTAATAATGCACCCTCCCTCTTAAGCGCCAAAATAGATAAAAACCCACCAAACGCCAAATATTGCCGAAAATGCATCTTCCCACTGGCCGTTTCCCATGCAACAGGCAAAACATTGGCTCCCCTTTTTGCTCTCTCCCGTTTCTTCTTCCCCTTCCCCAGGTCATGAATCCATGTTCTCGCTGGTTTCGTGCGGTACATTATTCCTCATCTGAGTCGCTTCCGTCCTGCTGTCCATCCCGATACTTCATCTCCAGTAACCACTTCTCATCAAAGTCGATACCTCTTCGAATCTTGGTTCCGGCCTTCCTCCAGACGGCACTTCCCAGGCCAATGTCCGCAATAAATAGACGCCATTCCTCTTCGTGTCCGGCGTTGTTCATGTTCTGAGGGTCGTCCTCATCGGGTGGTGTCACGGCTTCAAGCAAGCCTCGCTTTGGGGCACCCATTGCAACAACGTATCGAGGCTTAACAAATAGGCGGCTACCATCTATCACTGCCACTTTACCGGAAGTTGGGTCGATACCTGTTGGCACATCGACCGATAGCACGAACGCTTCGTTTCGGTTCGCCCACTCCATCAACTCATACACAGCTGCCTGGTCGCCAGTTCGCAGTTCTTCAAACGATATCGTCAATCCCAGAAGAGCATCAATGATGAGTGATACTGAGACAGGTGATCCTGATGATGATGCCTTGCGCAAATGCTCAAACAGATCTGCCTTGCTGAGAATTTTACCACCAAAGGCTCGATAAAGTTGAATTTGTTGCCGCAGGTCTTCGAGCAAGTCTTTCTCACGCTCGATACCCACTAGGCATACGAGCATGTTGACGTTTTTGTTCCGTAGATGGCGAGCAGCAGCAATAGCTCGGATACCCGATTTGTTATTTCCAGCCAGGATCACCACCACCGGACTCGTCAATGTAGCACTGGAAGAGGGATTTGCACCAGCAAGGCCGAACCGTACTTTGATAGCAGGATCTGAAAGGGCTACCAGAGCAACCTCAGCAATACCTCGCCCTCCATTCTCGGCCATAAGGTGTTCTGTCAAGCCGATCTCGTTCGCTGCTATGTTTTCAAGATTAAGCATCTGTAGGGCTGAGACGGTTTCAAGACGCTTATGCGAAGGGACGAGGTATAAGCCAGGCGGGTGACCTTGCTGTCTACTGTTAGTACTGCGAGATTCTGGTCGAGAGATCGACAACCGAGACAAGTGGCTTGCACGTACGCCAGAATTGACGCGGCTTAGCGGAAGGCCGCCAGATACTGCAACAGCACTCGCCTTGCGTGACTGTGATCTTCGTGAGGGAGCCGATTTGCTATCAGCCCTCCTGTTACCTTGGCCACTCCTAACTTCCCGTCCAGAAAGCCTCTCAGCCTCGTTCAACCCATCATCTGCCTCACTGTTCCAGAAGTCTGCATCCTTCTTAGTTGAGGACGGCAGGTCCAGTACATTTTCCGTGTAATGCAGGTTCTTTCCGCCAGCTGTGCCAGGCTTTGGCTTTCGATTGTGAGACACTAATCGGCTGGCATCGTCGATTTGATCCTCTTTCCTCATCTGATCAAAAATGGTGCGTTTATCAAACTTGGCCAGGTTGTTTTCAAAATCGAACTCGCCCATCTCTTCTGTGACATCTTCGGATGCCCAGCCGTTATCGAGGAGGCCTTTGCGCCCCTTGGAGCTCTTTTTCAGAGAATGGAATGGTTGGAAAGACGATGTACTCTGCAAGATTGGTGTCTGCCTCCACCCCTTGCCTCGGCCACTGGCGGGTGAGCCCTCAATCACTTGACCATCATCCTCAACACGCTGGCCCTTTCCTTGCTTGGACTGTCGAGAGCGTCGGTTATTGTTGTTTTTCTTCTTGGCGGATCGTGGAGCCTGTGCCTCAATTGGCTGGCCATTGTCCATTTCTTGGACCGCTTCGTTGATGGCCAAATTACTGACAGAACCAGTCAGATCGTGATCAGGGGTGGGTCTCCCTGGCGTTGAGAGAGCGGCATCCGCAGGAGCGACTTGTAGTTCAGCTCTCACATCCTCCAATGGTCCTTTTGAGTCGGAGCCTGCCGGCGTTAACGCTGCCGGGGGTCTTCCCAGACTTAGGATCGCAGGGTCTACAAAAGCAGGTTGCGGTGGTGGTTGCGAAATGAAAGGCGCAGCGATGGGTTCGGCTGGAGGAGGCGCATATGTCGCTGGCCTGTCGTTCTTCACTTCAGCAAGATCGGCGATGTTAGTGGCGTGGACCTGCAAGTGAGGAAGCCATTGTTTGGTATCCGAAACGAACACTGCAGCAGGAATTAGCATCTGTCTTGGAATGTGTAGGGCTAGAATTCTGTGCATACCGTTAGTCAATGTTAAGCCGCTCCCTGCCTGAACATTGCCAACTGTCCCCGTCAGTTCGCTCCCGGGAGGGTCCCTCAACACCACCCGCATATGCAAGCCGATGAACTGGGTTGCCATGATTGGTAAGATCTCGCGATTTATATGTGATTGGAAAAATGTTGTATTTCTCGGCACAAATTATTGGATATGGCAGATCGGCAGAGTCCAGATGTCATTAACGTCCTTTGACAAGCTTTTGAAGACCAATCCCCAGTCGCGCAGAATCGAGACCCTAAGCTTTATGTGTTACTTTGTTGAGTGGACAAGTACTGCTTTTGTGTCGAAATAGAGACGAGAGGACCGGGTGGTTGGGCTCGTCGACGGAGTGACTGATTACAGGCGAGTTTCGAAGCGGCGGGATGGGGCAAAACGAGGGGAGATCGAGACTTGGAGCCCAGTGAGGAAATGGTGCGAGGTTCGAAAGGTGGCAGCTGCAAAGCTGGAGCTCTCCGACTTTTATGCCGTATCCGATAAGGTACTGCTGCAGGTGTTTCGGCGAGTTTTCGTATTGCGATTTGATGTTGTGTGATGCGGGCCTGTTCTTGGTGGGAGAACTTCCATTTCAACATGGGGCAAGCTAGGGAAGTTCGCGTGGGAACAAAGTTGCCAATCTTGTTATCGATAACATGGTGGTTCCCTCGGTGTGCGTCACAACTTTGCTAAGGTACCTACGTAAGGTCCCTTCTGCTAGTACCTTACCTTTTATAGGTTAGTAGTCTCTTATGTTTGTCTTTGTCTTTGCAACCACGGTAATCATGGCTTCATCGGATTGCTTATAATGAAATTAGTTCTCTTTCCTTACTAGAGCTAGGTATGCTCAGACTCATGAGTAAACTTATCTGTGCTGAATCAAAAGCCAAACCGAGCAAACGTTTCGTCACTATGATAGGCCCAGTGGTCAGAGCAGATGTCATAAAATTAAACAGAGCGGTTCATCATTTGTATTATCATAACTTGGTGCATACAAGTCTCAATATCTACTGGGCCTTTGGTGTGTCTAACCCGACCAATTGCCCCTTTGACACCTTAACGCCTTTCCCATGGTTATTCGCATCTATCGAAACTCGGCGTTTCGACTGTGTCTCCAGTATCATACAATGGTATCAATAGATGGTAAGCTCTTTGGCATCTAAATGAAACCCCACCAGCTCGAAAACTCAGTATCCCATAGAAGCCATCGCCTCTTCCTCATCGTCTAAATCTATCACCTGGTGGGCTGACTTCTTGGGCGCTGGTGCTTTCGAGGGCGCCGCTCCAATACGATTGGATACAAAACTGGTGATAGATTGAGCCTTGGGTTTTCCGAGTGCCTCCTCGGCACTGTAGAGTTTGTTGTAAAAGTCTATGACTCGAGGATGTGCCATGACCTTGGACTTTTGAAAGCCCAGAACCTGCAGGCCATCCTGTGTAGTCGCTCGACTGAGAGCAACATAAGCCTGTCCCTTTTCAAACACACGTCCGAGATTGACTTTGACACGTTCGAGAGTTTGACCTTGGGCCTTATGGATGGACAATGACCATGCCAGGATCAGGGGCAGCTGAGTTCGCTTCGCCTGGAGCTCGCCATTGGGCAATTCGACCTTCCATTCCTCAGGCTGGCAGAGGATCACGCGTGATGTGCCATCTGTTGCCATGAACTGTACCACCGGGAATTTAGTCCCACTGGAACCTGAATCGGATTCGCGCTTGAATGTATTGAGTAGTTTCTTTCGAGCTTTGGCCATTCTCTCTTCCTCGTCGAATTCATCAATTGGCTCCATGTCGAACGTCTTTTCATCAGAGAACCCTATCACCTTACCTAAAGATCCGTTCACAAGTGATTCATCAAGGTTCTTGATCAGCATTACTTGAGCGTTGATCTTCAGATCGATACTCTTGGGTGCCATCATGTTCATCAGTAGTTTGTCCCGAATCTCTTCTTTGCCAGTATCTTGAGCCTCGTACCGCCTGATCGTGCCAGGAAGTTCTCTCAACCTTCTTTCATTTGACATCTCGACTTCATTCCGGGTGGAAAACAACTCTGCGGTTCCCAGTCCATCATTGAAATTGAGCGGTCGCTCCAGCTTTTTGAAGGCCCGAACAGTGTCTTCCGTTATGCGACCGAGGCGCATCTCGTTGAGCATGTTGGCAAATACTGGGTCTCGCTGACGGAAGACCTGCGTAAGTCCAATAGTGTGGTCTATGGAGGTAGCCCAAGTTGAAGCATCAAAGGCAAACTTGGTCTCGCGCTTCGCACCCTGTTCTGGGACTGGTGGAAGCTGGAAAAAATCACCGGTGATAATGAGTTGAATGCCGCCCCACGGTCTCCCGTTGTTTCGAATCGTTCTTCCAATTGTAGACAGTTTGTCAAACAAATCTCCGTCAACCATGGAAATCTCATCAATGACAAGGCATTTAGTTCTCAGCCAGCGGTTCTTTGCCTTGGGATTCCTTCGGATTTTCTTGATTAGTGATGGGGCATCCTCTTTGCCAAGTCCAATACCAGAGAAGCTATGAAGCGTAATGCCTCCGATATTGCATGCAGCAAGTCCCGTGGAGGCAGTAACGGCAACTCGTTCTGGGTCTTTGGCATGCTTCTTCTTCAATTCCGTGATGATGGCTCGCATGAGGACAGATTTGCCAGTTCCGGCCGCACCAGTGAAGAAGACACTCTGGTTCTTGTTCACTACCAGATCCAAGACGTGTCTCTGTTCTTCGCTGAGCGATATGGCAAAATTGCCCTTGGAATGCGAAGCGGTGACTTCTTTGATCTCATCCATGGAAAGATCAGTGCTGGCCGATGGTTGCTCTTGCTGACGCTGAGTTCGAAATTGTTTTTTCTGTTCCTTGACAGCGCTCGCTGTGGGATTAAGAAAATCATTCCGCTTGTTATTCGGTGTTTGGGCGACCTGTGGGTGAAAATCACTCTCATCATCGGGTTCTTCCTGCTTGAAACTTTGAGGCAATACGCGTTTCTTGGCCTTTTTAGGGACCGGAACATCGAAGTCATCTTGGTCACCAGAAGAATCGCGCTTCATGGAAATATTGGCCATCGTTGAAGTGACAGATGTATTGTGGGACGGTGGCAGGAAATGTGAGGGCGGTGACGAAGACCAAGGTATAGCCTTGTCTGTCTGTGTTGAGGTTGGCGGCGGGGGTGGCATGTTCTCCCTGGTGATGCGCTTGGATGGAGTATTTGCAGGAAATGGTGGTAGTGCTGAAGGGGCTTGGAAATCCAGATCTAGGTCGTCGTCGTCACAAAAGTCGTCTTCCGTAAAGAAGACCGCTGCTTGGGCCTTTGCGTGAGCTTCAGGTCCAGTGAGATCAACAACATCTGCTTGGCCGATGAATGAGTTTGAACCTCCACAGATAGAAGCCAGTGATCCACCGCCAACACAGTTTGGCGGCCGAGAATTGTTTGAGAGTTGGTTCATGTTAGAAGGTCGGTTTTGAAGAGGTCTGGAGAATGGTGGCATGGTCCTCGCCGACACAGCAGGGGCACTTGGCTTCTTTAGTTGTTGTCGAATATCGGCATTATGAGTACTTGGGCTGGAAGGAAGAAACGATTGGCTTCTGGGCTGGCTCCTTTGTTGGGGAGGAGGGCCATTGGCCTCGTATTGGCTATTTGCACGCTGTAGCATTGCGTCGGGGTTTGGTGAATATATCGGACCAGCTGAGTGCACCTGAACTCGTTGCTGTGGCAAAGCTTGTCGAAGAAGGGACGCCCGTGCCGGCGAGGAACGAAAAGGAAGGTGGTTGATACCAACCTTCATAAAATATCGTGAAGTGGCGACCGCTGAAGGTTACCTTGAGCAGGTAGGAAAACGAGGGAGGAGGGGGGAACGGGAAAAAAACGAAGCAGGAAGCTGCAAGGCTCAATTGGAGGAAGACGAGATTATCGAGGAAGTATCCGTACCCCACGGTCCTGTCATATTAAGTAGAAGCCGATTGTGATTTCCTGCAAGATAAGGACGCGTCTCGGCCCCGAACCTGGTCAGTCAGGTACGACGAATGAAGTCTTCACATGAATGCAGTAGGTCTCTGCCCGACGCGTTCCAGGCGCGACACCCCTCACTTAATGCACTACCGGTATTCGCTTAGTCACGTGGTCTATAATTTGCCGTTCATGCATACAACTCACGCTTGACGTTAAACAAGGCATAATGAACTATATGCACAATCAATTATTAACATTGAAATTGTTTGTCATTATAATACTCATGTTTTGCTCAAGATAAGTACGATACTGAAATATCAACTCATCCTCATCCCTTTGAAACGATAAAACGCCACTCCCAAACCTTGGTGTTATATACTCGATTGCATATGTCAGTAACACGAACTGATCCTATTCAAACATTGCGTAAAAGCACAGTAATTGCAACAAAGAAGACTGCCGACTCATGCTATCAGTCTCGTCGGCCACTGTATCCCCTAAAATCCCCACGATCTTCATGATGTTGTCGTGAATAGCGTGGCTCCCTGTGGCTCATAAACTCTCGAGCCCGTCGATCACTCCAGCGAGGTTCACGATCAACGCACTTGTAGTCATCGGGTCTTCGATCTTCTCGCCTCTCCTTAAGCTCACGAAGCCGTCGAAGATCCTCTTCAAGATGTTGTTTGAAGCGATCATTGTCTCTTCGAACGTCACGCTCACGATGGCCGTCGTCTAATCTTGCTCGCTCAAGGGGCTTGTCGGTGCGACTGGGTCTGATATCATAAGACTCATCTCGTCGGGGCGCGGTGCCGCAAACATGACGTACACTAGGTCTTGCTGCCTGGATAATTCGTGGCGGCTCTCCTCTCCAAGGCTGTTCTCGGGGAGAAGGATAACCGCCTCTAGGCGAACAACTTTCGTCACGGTAGCGACGGCCGGGTGAATTGAACCGTACATGCTGCCGATCAGAATGTCGAGAGGAACGGTCGTCAGCTATATATTCAGCATCCTTTCTGAGGTTACGAGGACCCTGGACGATAATGTTTTCGTGATGATTGGAAGGCATACGCTTCGGGTTCGGGCTACGCCCTCGACCCCTTTGCGGACTGCTACCGGAATCAACGGACGACGGCCTTGTATCCTCGCTTTCATCTTCTGACCACTCGTCACTGTCACCATCAGATAGCGAGGAACTTCGGCCTGAGTTATCAACAACCTTGACTCCATCTCCAAAATCGAACCCTGGCACTGGTGCCGTTTTCTTTGGGGGGCGATTGCCTGCCTCAAATGGAGCCTTAGGTGCACCGGGACCTGATGAGGGCATCTGTGGAGGACCCTTGGGCCCTGGCATTGGCCCGTGTGGTGGTCGGTTGATGGGGATATTGATCGCTGGTAGCCTCGGGGGTGGTACAGCTGGAACCTGTCCTTGTGCTGGTGCTGGTGCCGATGCTGATGCTGATGCTGGTACTGGTACTGGTACATGTGGCACGGCACCTGCATTATGAAAGACCACATTTCCTGGCTTTGCAGGTGGCATGCCACTTTGCGGTGCATTGTTGAATGGGCCCTGTCGAGGGGATTGGGCTGGGGGCATACGAGGGACGTTTTGTTCCCCCATAGGAGGCCTGAGTTGACCGTTCAATCGTGGATCAGTCACAGGAGGAGGCGCTGGCCTGACAGGGGCAGCAGCAGCAGGAGCAGCAGTAGGATGAGGGGGCACAAATCCTTGGGGAAGGGTGACAGGCGGTAACCCTCCCATGCGTGGCTGGGTAGGTGTTTGTTGGATTTGCCTTGGCTGTCTCATCGATACATGTGTATCGAGGGTTCTGGAGGTATGGCGACCAGAGGCGGGCATCCTCTGGAAATATGCATTGATTGCCACTCTCTCGAGCCTAGGAGATTTGCTCCGCTTCGAGTGGCTTCTATGCTTTCTGGAGCTTCGCACACTCCTGTCATCCCGGTGTCTGGAATCATCTGCCGCCCGCCATTCTGATTCGATCTGGGCCAGCTTATAGTAGAACCGAAAGTCACGGTCCTCTTTGGTTAAATCAGCTTGAGCCCTGTCGAGCTGAAGTTGGATAGTCTCGTTCTTGTCTTGCTTCTTCTTTGAGACAGATCTTGTGGTTCTATCCAAGTGCTCGATCCTCTCTTTGATCCTTGATTGAGACATGCTCTTCTCTGTACGAGTGATGATCTCCCAGTCATACTCTGTATCCCGTGCCTTGCCACCACTGGAGGCCACAGGGGTCTTTTCGAGGCGGAGAGCTCTGTACATAGGAAGCTCCCTACTTCGGACATTTTTATTCTCATCGGAATCTTGCAGCCGCAGATCCCTGGGAGGCTGGGGAGGATGGCTATAGGGCCGGGTATTGGCAGGCATGAATGCAGAGAGCCCTGCAGGGGCTCCGTTCTGCTGGGGCATTGAAGGTCGTGTTTGGGGAGCTTGAGTATGATGCATTGGTGCTGGGATATTTTGAGGCATAGCCCCGACAGGAGGAACACCAGCCATGGTGTGATTGGTATTTGCTAGGTGAATGGGGAATTCCAATTCTGGGATTGATGCGCTGGAGAGGCAGAATAGGGCTATGATATATACGACTGGAGATGGAGAGCTTGGGTGGGCGCAGCTTGGGAGGGATTCGAAAGCTCCTGCATCTAAAGACTTGTGCAAATAAAAAGTGAGGCTGGCGAGATAGCAAAGGGATGCGTCCTAGTGAGAAGATGGAGGGGGGATGGAAGGTTGAGGACTAAGGAGGGGCGCAGTACAGCCTTGTTGAGGCAGATGTGTCAAGCAATTGGAGAAAGTCTTGTTTGCTTTGAAGATATGAGGAAAGGGATATCTGTTTGTTGGCTGAATTGGGAGTGTCTCTGGATTTCTGTGGGAAACTCGAGGGCGAGTGATGGTCTATTTGAACTTGGACAACCATTACTCAAGATAAGTACGTATTGGCATTGGTTGCTTTATCTGGTATTCCGACACAAAACGGCAGTTATGAGTACTCTTGATGATGAAAGCCTTTTTTGTGTTACTGAGAAACTGAAGGTTGTTGTTAAAGGCGAACCATGCATTGGTTGTTCTGCGCACGAGTTGGCGGTTCGCCCGTTAACCTCCACCAACAGCACATCAGCTTGGCGCAAGCCAACTACGCACATTGATGGCGATATCATGAACAAGCCTACAATAGGACTCTCAGCCGAAGTGACCTAGTAATCGGCAAATGCATTCCTTGCCGGCCGACCTCTGCTGAGATACGGCATCATTCGCCTGGTCGACGCGGCCAGACTGACTTGCATGAGGCAATCGGCAGAGTCCAACGACTCAAGATAGTCCTTTCAACCGGCGCCTCCATTGTGTGTTACCTCATGTTGTCTCGATATGGCGACCGACGATGAACGATGAGGCAAGTTGCCGAGAGGCTGACGCGAGACGATTTGTGACCCGACACCGACAGCCCGTTCTGTCGACGCCCAGATATGCAGGAAGGCGATCGCCGTTTCTAAGATACAACATCTCATGCTAGCTAGCTAGGTATGCTATACTAAGTGTCTATCTAGGTGTGTTACTCTGCGGCCCTCGGTCGCCCGGTGAGAGTTTAACACGATGATCTGGAGATCTTTTACGCTGCGTAACCATTTGTTCGAGTTGAGAAAGGCCCTGCATTGCTGTACTGTTGAATCAGATAATTACCTCGGATACACCATGGCTGGACTCAAAAAATCACCACGAAGTCGTTGGGCGTTGATGTCGTTCGATATGTCCGAAGCTTGTGCTACTGAGGACGAGAGGGCAGACTCGGACGCGGACGCGGACGCAGACACAGACACAGAGTATCGCCACAATCGAGAAGTGTAGTCCATCGTGGAATTAGGCCTTGTCCGCCATGCCACGAAAAGTGAGAGCGACAGGTCCAGGTCGGACATATCGAGGAATCGGTGAAACAAGTTGAGACTTTGCTTGCACTAAGGAATAGCTTCGCGGGAAGGTCGGGTATGCAAGTGATGGCAGAGAATGTACAGTAGCGAGCTGAATGATGTGCATATTTGGTTGATATAGTCATTGATTACCTTGGATCTCTCGCAAGGCAGACAGACAGTTGTGCTCAAGTGCATATTACGGGTCTAGATACTGGCTCTGTTGGTTCGCCAAGTCAGCGGCAGTTGGGATTAACACGGTTGAAAATGCGCGTAAAGTGATATTGAGGCATAATGACTCAATCAGCCTTGATTGCCTTGGAGGTGAGTGTGTCTAAAGTGTAAGATACTTGGTAGATGGTGGTAACGCAACTCATTTACACCGCGTCACGGCCCATCCCATCTTATGCACGATAGAGTCAGCAGTTTGGTCGAAAAGCGCCCTAATTATGCGGTAACTAATAACTCTAGACTATGTGAGTACATATGTCGAACATATTCTGTATGATGCGGAGGTAGAATGACTTAGTCTAGAAGTGCATGTGCGGCGCAGGCTGTTGATGATGGATGGCCTGTGAGGGTTTCTATACGTCGAGATGCAATCCGACGAACAAAAATGAGGCGAAAGTGAACATGTTTCATGTTTTGGTCGTTATGAATTGTGTCTGGATTCTGAGACATGAATACGGGTTCTATCAGTCTTGATTTGAGACAGCAAAGCATAGCATGGCTAGCATATTACAGCACAACACAGCACGGCACGGGCAACACAATAATACAGTTGGCGATGGC